TCTTAATGTCTGTGCATTTAGCAGAGGAAAGCAATGATGAGAAACAGGATTTTCCAACTGGTAGAGCTCATTTCACACAACACTTCCATCAGAAATGGGAAAACCCACCTGTGACACCAGCTTCCAGGTAACATCTCATGTACAAATGAATTGGTCAAAAGCTTAGGGAAGCTTTCCCTTGACATGTGAAAAAGCTTATGAGACAACCTCATTTCAACAAACTTATTTCTAGGTACTGACCAGATATTCCCACATTGCAGCAGCAAATTCCTAACTCAAGTTATTTCAACAGATTCTGGTAGCTTTAGGCTTTTATTTAAAAATGTGATTGGTTTAAGAGAATAATTTAAACAAAGAAATTACTAGAACTAAATAAGGTAAAAAATCAGATGCATTGAAGTCCATCATCTGTTACCACCCTGATATAAATATCATGTTTCAACAGTAGCTCTCCAAGGAGGTGAGATTTGCATTGGGTCTGCCCACAAAACCAAATTAAATTTGAAATTATCCTAGTTACAGGTGGATGCTGCCAAGCCCCAAGGACCATGTCCAGGATATACTCTTAAGAGTGGGCTAGGCCCTGTCTCAAGTGCTGATCTCTGTCTGCAGTCCTGCCATGGTACCTTTCACACTGGGAACTCCAGGGACAGCTGATGGACCTCCACACAGAGCAGATTTTGACATATATGACAATAATGGCAGTTAATGAATTCTATCTTCTAAATGTGACCTAGTTCTATATGACAAGGTGAAATGTGGAATGTCTCCCACCTGACAGCCCAGGAAAGCTCTGCAGGAACCGGCCAAACTATGGCTGCACTGCAGCCCATGTCACAGGACAAGTCTCTGGCAAAGGATTTGGAAATGAACCCTGCTCTGCCCCACTTCCAGGCTGGTGCTGAAGCCACCAGGCACACCTGGCTCTGAGACAACCACTACTGACAAATCCCTGCATCACATCTGCTGCACTTCTGGGTTAGAGCAAATAATGTACACCTAACTCTGCCCCAGTGTCCAGCCCACTCCTCCCAGTCACCAAATTCTTCAAGGCTTGTCCTTGCCCTGTCTTGTATTCAGCCCCAAGATACACCTTGGAAAACCATCACCAAAATAGCAAAATACAGGAAATCCCTTCCTGCCTCCAGGCAGAGCACCACAGGAATAACCTGAGAGCTGTGGCCATTGGAAAAAAAATCACTTGAATAAATGTTTAGTAACAGCCTTTCCTCAGAAGCCCTGAAACCAGGAGAAATCCCCCTGCACTTGCCTAGATGGGGGACCCCAGAAGAAGCACAGAAGAAAATTCAGAAGTAAATGCCTTCCTCACCTTCAGCAACACACTCAAGGCACAAAACTTATCTAGAAACGCCATCTAAAGAACAGAACGTGCCACAGATGACTAAAAGGCAGAAGCAGAGCACCATCAGCCACCCTACAAATTGATCCAGGAACAATCAGTATGTCAGGCACACGTGCCAACACACGAGTGAGGGGGCTTTACCATACAGCAGAATGGAAATCTCAGGGGCCTGCAGGCTGCTGCAGGGCAAGCAAGCACAGCTCTGCTCACAGAGCCAGAGTTTTGGGGTGCATCTAAAGCTGAAAACTGCCCCTCCATGTCAGATCAACATGTGCACATTCTTCTCCCTCCATCAGGAAGAATGCCTTGGCACAGACTAGTGATTGAGAAGCTGTTCTGACACTCACTGTGAACCTCTGGACATGCCATATTTTCTAATGGAAGTGGCTGCAATACCACAGTGGTCACCTGGGAGCTCTCTGCCTGTACTCTGGGGAAACTGGTTGCATTAAATGACCAGGGCTCAAGACAAATCAAAAACTGGGAGAAGCTCAGCTGTCCTCCAAGGCAGAGCAGTCTGTAAGGTTATTTTATGGAAAAAAAAAAAAACCCTCCCAAACAAAACACGAATCTGAGCAACAAGTCACCTGAGAGTGGGGGGAAAGCAGATTGCATGCAACATTCTGCATGCAGAAGGCTGAGAGCTTCAAAAATCGCTGGAGAAAAAAGGTAACACAGAAAAAGGCACCTGCCTGGGGGGTCCTTTCCTGGAGCAGCCGGAGCCCTGCCTTGTGAGGCGCCAGGGCAGGCTCCACCCCAGAGATAACACCACTGCTCTGCCTCTCAAGGCTTTGTCTGTGTACAAAGGTGTCTCAGTCAGCAGGCAGTGCATCCAGCCTACAGGCCACCCGGTTGCAGATAAGGACATTCATACTTAAGGGGCTTCCTTCCAAGCTAGCTGTGTCCTCACAAGCATCTTTACAGCCCTGTTGCAATACTCGCAGTAAAAAAACCCAGTGGCTTCCCAGGGACTGAACTGTCCCAGCCAGAGACGGGGGTGTGACCTAGAGCCCCAGTCTGCTCCCCGAGGCCAGGACACCCTCCAGGCTGGCAGCAGCGGCCGTGGCTGACCCGTATAGGTCAGGCCGTGCCTGTATCCCTTCTGCTCGAGAAAGCAAAGAGGGAGCGAGCTGGAATTTGCTCTTCACCCCAAAGCAAAAGGCTGAGGCCATGACTCCATACTCAGGCTTCCTGTTCCCCGCCTCCCCCTACACATTCTGTACCACGCTGGCACCACGCTGATGAAGCCCACTTTACCCAAAGCAAATACCCTGCAAATCCACCTTCCTCCCTTGCCCACTTCCTCCTCGTCCAGGCCCTGTGCTCCAGTCCACCTCAGCACGGCAATCTCCGGTATCCTTCCCAGATCCGTCCTGCTCCCCGGGGCTCTCCATTGCCCTGGCACTAGTGACCCCATCCAGCCCCACTTCCCCCCCGACACTGCCCTGTCCCGCTCTGCCCCCTCATTCCCCACGCTCTCCCTCCGCCCATCCCCGTCGCCCGCAGCTCAGTTCCCGCACCCCGACCACCCCGCTCCCAGCCCTGCATCCTGCAGGCCCCCACCCCGAGCCCGCTCTGCCCTGCCCGTTCCCGGGCCGCCACCCGGTAGCACAGTACCCGCAGGCTCAGTGCCGCTCCCCGCCACTCGCCAGCCCCACATCCTGCCTTGTCACCACTCGCCGGCCCCCACCCCTCAGCCCCATCCTCCCCCGGCACCACCCGCCAGGCTCTACTCTGTGCCCGGCCGCCTGGCACGGCCCGGGCCCCGCCAGCCACCGCCCCCTCGCCCCTCCCTCGGTCCGCGGACCCGTCCCCGCCCCGCCCCGGCCCCCCTGTTCCTACCCGGCGGCCGCGCCCTCGAACTTGAGCGTGAGGGTCTCCTCGATGATGCGGTTGTTGACCTCGAGCAGGATCATGTCGGTGCCGGGAGCGGCTCTGAGGGAGCCGAGCCCGCTGCGCGCACCGGGGACCCGCCCGAGCCTGCGCCGCCGCTTCCGCTCTCGCGCCCGCGCGTCACTTCCGGCTCGGCGCCACCGCCCCGGCCCGCCTTCGCCCCGCCCACGCAGGATGACGTCACAAGAAGCTCCGCCCCTGCAGCGGGCGGGGAAGGGGGGGGTGGTGTCCCCAAAATGCGGGGGGACACGGGCTGGTCCCAAAGTGAGATGGGACACGGGGTGTCCCCGAAATGCGATGGGACACGGGCTGTCCCCTAAGTGCAGTGGGACACGGGGTGTCCCCGAAATGCGATGGGACACGGGCTGTCCCCAAAATGCGGGGAGACACAGGGTGTCCCCGAAATGCGGCGGGACCCGGGCTGTCCCCTAAGTGCGGCGGGACACAGGTGCAGGGGAGCACTGGGGGATCCTCCTGGTACGGGCATCACCGCTAGGCGGGGTGAGGCAGGGATATGTGGTGTGCCTGCGGTTTGGGAGTCCCCAAAAGTGTGAGTTCCCCCCCCCCGACCCGTTAATTGAATGCTCACAGTGTTGGGGGGGCCCGAAGCAGTGGGGTGCCCTTAGGGTCATGGGGATGCTCTGGGAAGTAGCAGGTGTGCCCCAGGGTATGGGGGTCTGTGTAAGAATTGGTGCACCAGCGATACGGGGGTGCCTACAGGGGAAAATGGTCTCTTGCAAAATGGATAATTTCAGAGCTACAGAGCCCCCAAAATGTGAGGTGACACGGGGAGTGGGGGTATCCTAGCGAGGCTGTGATGGTGCCCTGGAGCTGGGGGTTGCCCAAAACTGGGCAGCGTTCCCACAGAGCATAGGAGTGTCCTTGAGTCTGTGGGGATAGCCAAGGGATATCATGGTGGCACTTACCAGGTGCCCCAAAAACGTGGGGTACCCCTACGACTGACAAGCATGGAAAGCTGTGAGGATGGGGGTGCTCAAAGGGTTTGTGAGTGCCCCAGAGCATTGGGGCTGCACGGGGAATGCCCTTGTGCACAGTTCTCCCTGGAAGCCATAGGGGTACTCGCAGCCTCAGCATTGGCGAGGTCTGCGGGGCTGGCACGGGGGCACGGCTCTGGCTGGTGGTGCTGATGGCATGGCTTGACTCGGCTTAGCTTGGCAAGGCACAGCCAGGGCGGGAGGGACATGGGACTCTGCTCTGGGGGGTCCCCCACAGCAACCCCCAACACAGGGCAAGCCAGCCTTGCAGTCCCCTGTGCATCCCCCAAATGCTGACGCCACCCCTACTCTATCCATGGGGAAACTGAGGCACAGAGGCCTGCACTGCCATCACCACCGGCCATGGCCTCGGAGACCTGCTCTTCTGGGAGGACTGCAGCACACAGGGGTGCCTTGAAGGGGATGCCCTCATCCACTGAGGGCCTGGGGACAAATTGGAGACCCCCAGCTGGAGACCCCCGCGGTGCATCGTCGCAGGGATGACAATGAACCCCTGGGTGCACCCCCAGTGCAGCGTGGCCTCGGACATCCTGGGACAGGAGGGTGACAGAGGGCTCCCCTCGGACTGGGAAAGGCATCTGGGGTGACCATGGAAGGGTCCCTTGGGCTGCCACTTCCGCTTCATTCTGGGAGAAGGTTTTGCAACATTTCCTCCCCGGGCAGTATAAAGTGGGCGGCGGAGGAAAGGGGCACTGGGAGGTGGCACGGCAGCGGGCGCAGGTGAGGGAGCCTCCGGCTGGCGAGACCCCCGGGTCTGGTGCTGCCCCTCATCCCAGCACACTCTGCACCGGAGCCCTTTGGGGGTGACATCTGGATTTAAACCTGCACTTGTGTGCTTCCCAGTGAGAAAAAACTTGGGATCAGGAGAAGACTCCACGCTTAAGGAGACAGCGACAGCAGCAAGCAGTGAGTCCATGGGGTGCACCTCTGCGGATTGTGGCTTTCCTTGGGCTTTGACAGATCCCATCTGAGCCCCGTCACATGTGGAGCAGCCTGGGGGCTGGGGTGGGTTGCTTGGTAGAGGGAGGTGGTGGGTGAGAGCACCCAAGGCTCTGCTGAGGGCTCATCTGGCGTGCAAACCCTCCACAGTCCCCAGGGACATCAGCCTTGGGTGCCGTGGGGAAAAAAACTGCTCCCATTTCCTTGCACAGCGATGAGCTAGGAGGAGCCTTCCCCATGGCATGTCCCTCTTTCCTCCCCACTGGGAGCCCCAGGACCACCCCATTGTCCCCCAGCCCTGCCAGGGTCAGGAGGGGAAATGCAGTGCTGCTTGTTCCCCTCATCTGGCCAGCTGTAGGGTGTCTGTGTGTGCTATACCGGGGGAATACCCGTTTCCAGAGGAACCATCAGAATTTTGGAGTGGGGAGGCAGAAAGCAGCAGCCAGAAATAGATGGAGGGGAAGCACTGGTATCAGGCTCTGCCCCGTGCCTGTGGGAGCCCCACTTGGGAGGACATTCCCCCATCAGCACTGGCAGCATCACTGGTTGCGGTCCTCCGGGATGCTGATGCCTCAGCATCCAAGCATCACCACCCTGGGGTCACCATCCCAGGATTTCCACCCCTGGATCACTCACTGCAAGAGAGGATACAGCAGAGCCAGGGAGAGATTTTTCTGGGCAGCAGCACCAGCCCAGCTGCAGCAGGGAATTCACATCAGGCAAAAGGGGAAAGTTGGTTCCAGGGATGGTTTGGGTTCAAACAGGGCCAGCTCAGAGCTGGGGGGACTCAGCACCCCAAGCAGTCCTGGCACCTCCAAGCCCTGGAGGGGTTGGGGGCTCAGAAATGGGACAGATGCATGAAACCAGAGTGAAACAAGAGTCCAGATCCATTCTGGGAGAAGCCTGAAAGCCAGTGGTCTTTGGGGAGGCAGGAACAGAGCCAGCTCACTGTCTCCTATGTGTGAGAAGACAGGAAAAGCGACTGTCACCTGTGATTTCCCCACTGAGGCCAGGCACGGGGGGACATGGCAGTGCCCAGCTGAGCAACAGGAAAACCAGAGATGTTTCCAAAGCTGCCTGCAAAGTGAGACGCTTCTTTCTGCCTGGGGCTTGAAACCACTCCAGCAGGAGCAAGACCGGGAGGGGGAAGAAGGGCACAAAAACACCCTCAGACCTTCCTGAGTGCTGCCTGTCCCAGGCACCATGACCACAGCCTTGCTGCTGGCTGAGGTGGCAGGAGGGGCAGCTCTGTTCCAGGCACCACAGCAGTGATGCTTGAGGGGGTGGAGAGGCTGGAGGGATACAGGGGTACTTGAAGAACGCTGGAGGTGCCTGAGGGGCTCTGAGATGCCCAAAGAGCTGAGAGGCTTCTGAAGGACCCACAGTAAGCAGGGTAGCCCAGGGTTTCTGGAGGAGCCAGATGTCTCCTGGAGGGATGTGATGCTACATTGATGGGGATGCCTCCCAAACTGAGAAGAGATGATCATTCTATGGGGGAACCTCTTCTTCCACAGGAGTCAGGAAAGGGACAGGATTGGGGTGAAATGCAGGAGACTGAGGCATGCAGGGGGTGTTTTACGAGGGAGTGTATGAGGAACAGTGTCTACCTGCAGTACTGACCATTACCTGGCACAGTGTGGATGCTGTGTCCTCCATCACAGTGCAGTGATGAAGGACAGCTGCCCACTGGCTGGGAGGGGACCTGGGGGACAATGGAAAAGCCAGAGGACCCAAAGATGCTGTCACCCCTGGTCCACAGTACTGCCACCCCACGCTCATGCCAGTTTGTGCTCCACAGGCAAAATGGAGTCCTTGTCCTACAGTGGAGATTTGTCCAACATCTTCTACCTTTACAACTACACCTATGACTACAGCACAGCCATGCCTGACACTGCTATTTCATCCTCTCCGTGCCGGCCTGAAAGCTCTGTCCTCAACAAGTACCTGGTGGTGGTGATCTACTGCCTCGTCTTCATCCTCAGTGTGGTGGGGAACGGGCTGGTGGTGCTGGTGGTGACCTCCATCCACACCAGCCGCTCCGTCACCGACGTCTACCTGCTCAACCTGGCCGTGGCAGACCTGCTCTTCGCTTTGACCCTGCCACTTTGGGCAGCCTACCGAGCCCACGAGTGGGTCTTTGGCACTGTGATGTGCAAAGCCATCTCCGTGCTGCAGGAAGCCAACTTCTACAGTGGCATCCTTCTGCTGGCCTGCATCAGCGTGGACCGCTACCTGGCCATTGTCTATGCCACACGGGCTGCCACTGAGAAGAGGCACTGGGTGAAGTTTGTCTGCTTGGCCATCTGGGTCTTCTCCACGCTGCTCTCCCTGCCCGTGCTGCTCTTCCGTGAGGCTTTCCACTCACCCAACAACGGCACCGTGTGCTACGAGCGCATCAGTGGCGAGGAGACGGCCAAGTGGCGGGTAGTGCTGCGGATCCTGCCGCAGACATTCGGCTTTGTCTTGCCCCTGCTGGTGATGCTCTTCTGCTATGGCGTCACCATCCACACCCTCCTGCAGACCAAGAACGCTCAGAAGCAGCGGGCCATGAAGGTCATCTTCGCTGTGGTGCTGGTGTTCCTCATCTGCTGGCTGCCCTACAACATCACACTGGTGAGCGACACCCTCATGAGGACGCGGGCCATTGCCGAGACCTGTGAGAGGAGGAACCGCATCGACACAGCCCTCTCCGTCACACAGGTCCTGGGCTTTGCCCACAGCTGCATCAACCCTATCATCTACGCCTTCATCGGTCAAAAGTTTCGCAACAGCTTCCTCAAGATCCTGGCGCAGCGTGGGCTGATCAGCAAGGATGCTGTTGCCCGCTACGGCCGCGCCTCCTATGCCTCCACCTCTGGCAATACATCCACCACCCTCTGAGCTCTTCTGGGACCCAGCCCTTGTGGGCACCAGCAGGTCCCAGCACCCCACACACCTCAGCATCCTCATCCAGCCCCCTGGAATGTGGGTGGTGATGCCATGGGGATGGGCAAGGCCACCACTGGAGGCTGGACCCCAACTGGAAGGGGGCTTGGGTGCAAGGTGGTAGGACCTCATTGCCAGGGGAGCGATGTCAAGTGTCCACCCTGCCCTCTCTCTGGGACAAAGCCTGTGACCCTGTGGATTCTGTGAGCCTGCTGTGGGGATGGTGTATTTACCTGATGACCATCCAGCAATAAAGGAGTTGGTGGGTTGGTCACACGTCTGGCTCCTCTTTGCCACGGGAAGGGACATGGCAGGACAGGGCCAGGGCACCTCTCTGGGGACAGTGCCAAAACAGTGGTGCCTGCTGAGCCTGTCAGAGTGTGGGTAACCATTCTTCCAGGGTTTGGCATCCTATGCATCCCCACAGAGGACCCAAGCCCAGGTTTTGCTTCCTACAGCTCCCCAGACAGGTCCTGGCACTTCGATGGTCTCTGTGTGAAGTCTATCCCACCTGGAGACAAAGTCATTCCCTTCCCAACCCCAATCTCAACCCCAGCAGAGCAAATCACTGAAAGATCTCTGAGCAGCCCCTCACACTGAGCCAGCCCTGTGACCCCTGCCTGAAGGGTGCCAGCACCCCAGGCATCCCCACTCCCCCCCAGCCATGGTGTCAGGAGATTGTTGTGCAAAGGGCTGGGAACCTGTCCCTTACACAACCGGGATGTTTCCGCCACGGCTTGGGCAACTGGGGCTGACACTTGACTGGGGTTGAGGCGCTGAAGAAGGGACTGTGACCATGCTGGGGACTCTCCTGCCACTCTGTGTGCCAGCCTCAGGATGCCTGCCCCAGCACACCTATACATCTCTCCGCTGGAGTCCCATACAGCTCCTCCATTGACCTTGATCCAGGTTCCTAGGGGTCCAAAACCATGGGGACATCAGCAGATGTCACCCATGCGCTGGCTCATGGGTAGGTACAGGGGTCCCAGCACCCAGGTGGGAACCCTGAGGACTTGGGGCAGAGCACAGTCAGTGGGGCTGCTGAGCAAGGACAGCCCATCACGTTTGCATCTGAGAAACCTCTTGCCCAAGTGGTTCCTTGCAGCGTGATAGGAAGCCAGAGCTGTTGGCCAAGAGCTGTCTACTCTTCCCACTGTGGGATGGTGCAGGCAGTGGCTCACCCTGGCTGCAGCTAGGACACCCTTTTTGGGGTTGGTTTCCCCCAGAAGAACTTGAACAACCCCACACCAGCATTCCCCACCCTGCACCCAACCCCAGTGTCAATCTGGCAGTGACTGATGGACGACACAGAAGACACAGGGTTAGCAGATATTAGTAGTTTTTCTCTTTGTGGACCAGCCGCAAGAAAGACACATATCAAACCCAAAATGCTGGGCAGCAGGACCTGCATGCAGGCCCTGGACACCTAGGTACCCAGTAAGTCCAAGAGGAGGCAGCCAGGGTAGGAGGTGTCCCAGACATGGTGCCAGGGCTGCCGTCCCCACTCATGTGGCCTGCGGGTGCCTTTGCTGGTAGCAAATCAGGCAGCAGCGGCCGTGCTTGCCCATGTCCACGGAGCACGTGTGGCACACCTTGCCCTGGCACAGCCTGCTGAGAGAGCAGGAGGTGAGAGCTGAGCCCGCCCTGTGCCAGTGCCAGCCGCCGTTCCCCGCACAGCCCACCTGCAGTTGTACCGCCGGGAGAGGAGGCGGAAATCCTTGTGGCAGCGGGCACACAGCCCTGGGTCGCGGGGCACCGGAGTGGGCATCGGGGTGTCAATGCCCTCCGTCTTCTGCCAGAGGGCATCCTTCTCCCTGCCGGAGGGGAGAGGTCAGCACTGGCTTTGCCTGGGCTCTGGTGCCCTCCTCTGGGCAAAGGAGTTTGGGTCCCCTTGCCCTCGCGTGGAGTCGCCGCGGCTCTCACCGCAGCAGCTCCAGCAGCCGCTCCTTCATGTCGCGGATGAGCTCCTGCTGCCGTGCCTGCTCGGCGCCGCGCGTGGCCTCCCGCTCCAGCGCTTCCCGCTGCGCCCGCTGCAGCGCCGATGCCCAGCGCTCGCCGTCCTGCCGGGCCCTGCCGCGGGGCAGTGGCGACACGGTCCCCCTGTCGCTCAGCTGGCCGTGTCTCCATCCCTCCATGCATGCGGGTGAACCTCCCGCCGCTGGTTCCTCCCTCCCTCCCTTTGCTGTTGCCCATCCATCCTCAAGCTCTCTCCCCATCCTCACAGCCACTTTGCCATCTGCCACCCATCCGTCTTCCCACTGTTCATCCATCCTTCTCCACATCCATACCCCTGGCGTTGTGCCCACCCACCCATCTACTCACCCCAAATTCTCATCCCTGTGTCTCTCCATCCACCGTCCCATCTCTATCCATTCATCTAAATTGATTCCTCCTTCCCTCCCTCCATCTACTAACGCCAAACCACTCCAGCTCTCTGCCCACCTACCCTTCCACCCACCTATCAGTCCCAAATTGACCCCTCCCTCCAGTCCTCCCCCCTCAAATCCTTCCTTCCCTCCCTCCCTCCCTCTGCCAATCCCCAGCTGCTGTTCGGCTGTGTCCAAGCAGGACACCGTTGGGGGCCCCAGGGGAAAGGATGTGGAAGGTGGAGATAGGAGGTCCCACTCCGGGGTGATGGGTGGTGGAAGTAGGGGTCCCTGCCCAACCTGCTGAGCTCCTCCTGCAGCCGTGCCATCTCCTGTTGCTGGGCCTGGAGCTTCTGCCGGCTCTGCCAGGTCTCCTCCTGTGCTGTGGCAGCCAGGCTGGCCAAGCGCTGGGGGAGAGTGGGGGCTCAATCCTGGACCCAAACCCCCACCCCACCGCGGGATCCCATTGGACTTCCCCATACCATGGCCATGCTGGTGACCGTGCTGGGCTCCCCTTCTGCCTGGGGGGCCCCTGGGAGCTCCTGGGGACCACGGGCGAGCTCCAGTGCCTGCCGCAGCACCTCCTCCACGGCGGCCACCTCATTTGAGCTACCAGCATCCTTCACCATGTCCGTCCGTCCTGCCGCCACCAGCGCTTCCTGGCATTCCTGTAGGCGCGAGGTCAGCGCCGCCGCCTCTGCCCGCGCCCTGGCCAGCTGGGTACCCCGCTCCTCTGCCACTTCTTGCCAGCCCCGTGCCTCCTCCTGTGCCCGTGCCAGCGCCCCCGGGTCCCCCGCCGCCACCGCTGCCCGCAGTGCCCGCTGCAGGAAGGTGTTGGTTTCCCGCAGTGCCTCCGCCTCCCGTGCCCAGAGCTGGGCCCGCCGGGCACTGCCCTCCTCCTGCCGCCGGTGCCGCAGCTCCGCCCGCGCCAGCCGCGCCGCCAGCGCCCGTGCCGCCGCCTCGCGCTGAGCCAGCTCGGCCCTCAGCTGGGACACCAGTGCCTGCAGGGATTCCTCTGTCCCAGCCGGCTGCCTGGGCACCAGTGACAGGGACCCCAGCATGCACCTTGTGCCGGTGGACAGGGGGGACATGCCAGGCTCTCCAGCACCATCAGGCTGGGCTGCTTTGCCAGTGCCATGTGCATCCTTCAGTTCCTCTACATCCACATCCTTCATCTCCTTCTCATCCTCCTCCAACTCTTCATACTTCTCTTCCAAATCCTCCTCTATGTCCACTTCCACATCCTCCACCTTCACGTGCTCCACCTTCACCTCCTTTGTATTCTTACTGTCATCCTTCTCCACTTCCTCTTCAGCCTCCTCTTCCATGCCCTTCTTCACTTCCCCATCCTCTACATCTTCCTCTATATCTTCCATTTCCACACTCCCTGCCTGCAGGGCAGCCAAAGTGGGTGGGCAGGGATGGGCTGGTGCCCCATGGAGTGCCACAGTGGGATGGCCAGTGCCACTGGGCCATCCATGTGCCACAGTGCTGATCCCGTCTGTCTGCAGGGCTGTCCTTGCTGGGCTGCTCCTGATCACCGGGCTGGGCCGTACCAGTGGCCTAGAGGGGACACAGGGCTCAGAACTACTAGGTCACCCCCAAGGTGAAGAGGGCATCACCACCCTCCATTTAGGCTCGCTGGGCACAGCAGCCTTTAGGAATTCTTGGGGCAGCAGGACAGGGGATCAGCGATGTCGGTGCCACCAGCCTGAGCACCCACAGAACATGTGGCACCCATTGACCCAAGCCTGTACGCTTGTGCCAGGCTGTGCACACGAGCGTGTGAGCAGCAGGTGTGAGTGTCCTGGAACAGCTGCATCCAAGATGCCTCCCACAAGCGTGCCGGGGCAAGGGTGTGCAAGCACATATGTGTGTCCCTGTGTGTCAGATGTCACAGTGTCACGGTGTTGCAGCAGGGATACACCTGGCAGCGGATGGCTCTTTGTGTGTGTGTGTGTACACATGCATGTGGCATGATTACAGGCATGGTTTGTGTGCTGGTGCCAGTGACTGTGCCCTCCTGGAGTCACATGTGGAGAGCTGGCACATCTGGAGTGCTGTGTGGGGTCTAGGGCAGTGGGGCAATGCACACATGCTTCTCTGCAATGCTAAGCCCCAGGTGGCTCTGATGCCCTTGACATCCCCAGTGCTGCCAATGCCCCTGGTGGCCCCAGTGTCCCCAAGCTCACTCAGAGAACATGGGCCAGGCGGTGTCCAGGTCACTCCTGTGCAGAGCCAGGTGGAAGGTGACACAGTCCAGCTCATAGAGGCTGCCCAGGATCTCTGCTCGCCGTTTGGGGCTCAGGAAGGGGCTACGGGCGTAGTACCACTCGCTGCAACCACAAAACAAGCTCATGCATCCTCTATGCCCTGGACAGGTGCACATGCCTGCAGCACCTCTGCTGACTGGCTGCTGCAGGGCACTGCCCACCCTGGCCATGTCCCCCACCACCACAAGCATCCCCTCACTGTGCCCCTGCTCTCACCAGAGGCTCTCAGGGTCGAGGAGGCAGAGCTGCAGGGACTCTGCCAGCTGCCGGTGTACCAGGCAGTACCGCAGAAAGGCTCGGCCCCTTCCCACAGGGGTCTTCAGCTGCAGGGGAGAGGGCTATCAATCCCTGTCACTCCAGTCTGCCCCTCCACACACCTCCCTCCCAGCCCATGCAAGGAAAGAGGGTCCCCAGGGCTAGGCTTGGGGTGCAGTGGGGATCCCAGAGGGGACAAAACTGTTTATAGCACCAGTGGGTGAATGCTTGGTGCCCAGGTGAGTGTGTGCCTGTGCAGAGGTGCATGTGCACCCACAAGCAAGCAAAAGCCCGTGTGTGTGCACAAGTCCCTGGGTATCCCACCAGCCCATGCCCACCTTGTCCAGGGAGGTGACGAAGTGAATGCCTTCATGCTCCTGCCGGCACCGTGCTAGGCCCTGGCACAAGAAGTCCCAATAGTCCTTGCGCTGCCCAAAGAAGCTCCTCTTCTCCTTGAGGTCAAACTGGCAGAGGTACAAGCTTGGACTTTCTTTTTTGGGAGCATCCCCTGTTCCCCCCAGCCTGTCCCCTCTGGGGCTGGAATCCAGCCAGCTCCCCCAGCAGCGTTGGTCCAGGTGTCCCTCTCTTCACTGGCTTCATACCTCAGTTTCTTTTTGCAGCACATGTAATTACACATGTGGACTAGGGAGAACCTGGTCCAGGTGGCTGGGGATACCCAGGGCCAGACAATGCTGGGTGGGGTTATTCCAGCCCCTGAATAGTTAACACACGGTCCCTTCTGCTCTCAGCTGTGCCTAAGGGGAAATGAGGCAGGGAGCAGCAGAGCTGGAGCAGCAGCAGTACCTGGAGGAGGAACTCTAGCTGGGCACAGAGGCTGTGCAGCTCCCGGCTCCCGTCTGTCACCGGCAGGTTCTGCTCCTGATAGCTGCATTTCAGCTCGGCCACGGTCTCTGTGGATGGCAGGGCTGGGCTGGCACGGCACCCTCTCCCATCCTACCCCTCTTCCCTCAACTGCCTCACAACAGCTGGCCTCGGGGATTTCTCATGGTGGATGAAATAATGGAATCTAAGTTGGAAAAGACCCTCAAGATCAAGCTCAGTCATTAACCCAACACTTCCAAATCCACCGTTAAACCATGTAGTCAAATTCCACATCCACGCGTCTTTTAAATACCTCCATGGGTAGTGACTCTACTACTTCCCTGGGTAGCCTGTTCCAATGCTTGATAAACATTTCCATGAAGATATTTTTCCTAATAGCCAGTCTAAACGTCTCCTGGAACAACTTGAGGCCATTTCCTCTTGTTCTAACCCTTGTAACTGGGGAGAAGAGATTGACTCCTTCCTGGCTACAACCTCATTTCACATAGTTGTACAGAGTGATAAGATCCCCCACCGAGCCTCCTTTTCTTCAAAGACAAAGAGGAACTTGGGATGAAGGAGGGGAGCAGGGGGAGCAAGGAGCACAGCCACCTCCTGGCACTGCCGATTCCCAGGGGCTGGCAGTGAGGAGGGGAGCTGGCAGCAGTGGCAGGGTTCGCAGAGATTCTCTGGAGCACCCTGGCAGTGACACAGCCCACTGCCCATGACTTGGATGCAAGAAGGGATCTGGCATGGCCAGGGTGAGGTGTGCCATGCAGGGAGCATGCTGGCAGGGGACTGGTTGGCACACTTACTCTGCAGGTCCTTGATGACACGGTTGAGCTCCCCTTCCCCTGCCATGGCTGTTCACAGGGATCTGCAGAGGCAGGGCCAGTGATGAGAAGTTCTAGGCTGGCACCCTCCTGGCACCCCCAAACTCTCTGTGCCAGAGAGATTGTCTGCTCCCCCTGCTCTACCCCAGAGCTGCCTGCTGTTAAGGTGGGAGAGGGAAGGTCCAGGCACCCCTTACCCTGCCCAAGTTCCCCCACTACATAGGCCAGAACAGCTGAGGTGGACAAAGGTGTCCCATCCTGCACCCTCTTAGTTGTCCACGTGCCCTGCCCCTGCATGTCCTTAGCCTCTGCTCCCATTCATTGGGGAGTTCCTGGGGCTGAGCCCACCACATCCCTACTGTGTCTCTGTCCTTATCCCTGTCCCTGTTCGCCAGGATTCAGGATGTGGGTTTGGCGCAGGGGAAGTGCTGCTTTTGCTTCTGCTCTCGCTTCCCTCATTCACATCATGACCAATGTGGGGGCTTCTGGGTAGCTGAGCAAGGGGGCACAGCACCCCAGATATGCAGCCCCCTAAGCTCAGCTCCCTAGGCAGAGCCCTCTGGCACAGCAGGTTGCCTGCACGGCTGGCATGAGGTTTGGGTGAGCTGTGGCCATGAGGTGGGCGGCCACAGGGCACAGTGCAGCGGAGTGATTTTCGGGTGGGTGGCAGCCTGGGGACAGGGTGAGGGAAATAGCCCGTGGAAGTGGCAGGTCTGTGACTTGTCACTGTGGCTGGAATCTGGCTGGTGTGGGGCAGCACACGTGTGTTGGGGGTGGGGGGTGTCCCAGCAGGGTGCACCTGCACTCACAGCAGTGGGGGCACCGGTGTGCCCAAACGTGCGAGTGCCCTGTGCCCTCTACCACGGCACAGTGAGGGACAGGACGCAGGACTCGGGCTGCCTGCACTCCCATTCCAGTGCTCTTGAGAGACCCCGGATGAGCTAGCTTTGCATCTGCCCACCCTACCTGTACCTCAGTTTCCCCTGGGAAGAGAAACCCCTTACCTGTGTCCAGGAGCTGTGGGCTGCCCCGAGGCTCTTGCTGAGTGCTGCGGGTGCTCTGGCATGTCCCTGTGCCCACGCTGTGCCTGCCTGCTTCTCCTTTTGTACCTTGGGCAGGAGGAAGTGTGGGAGGTCGGTGGGGCTGCAGAAGCCACAGCCTGCCTGGCCCACATCACATCAGGCACTGCAGCTTAGCCCCCAGCACCCAGCTCCCTGTTTTGGGGGTTGCCAGTTTTGGGGAAAGGGTCAGCAAGGCTGGTCCCCATGTGCAGCTTTTGGGGGTGCAGAGGAAGGACAGTGTCAGACATGGGGGACCCTGATTGTCTCCAATGAGAATGGAAATTCGGAATGTTCTAAAGAACCTGCCGCAGTTTTTTGTGGAGGGGATCCAGGGCCCATCCTCTGCTACAAGCAGCCAGCAGCAGACCCTGGCACAGAGGCCACCCCCATGCACAACAGCCCTTGGGCACAGAGGCCCCTGCAGGAGCTGCAGCCCCCCCAGCAAGGACCTCAACCCTCCCCAACCATCTGGCCTCCACATGGGGGCTATACCCAGAGCCAGTGTGTAAGCTCTTTCCAGAGCATTCTGGACAAGGCTCCCTCTTGTTAGGGAGCCCCCAACCCAGCAGTGCACCTCATTCACTTTGCCCTGTACTGTGTCAGCCCTGTCCTGTGGGCTCCTTCTTGATGGGGGGTGAAAAACCCCTGTGGGGGGAATGTCAAAGGTGATGCCAGCCCATCCCACCAGTCCAGGCAGGGGAACCCATTGCCATCCAGCTCCCCACCACCATCTTGGTGGATGGCCACAGCGATGCCTTCACCAGTCCAGGGGGACCCACCAGTCCAGGGGGACCCACTGCCATCCAGCTCCCCACCACCATCTTGGTGGATGGCCACAGCGATGCCTGTGTCCTATCCTCTGCCATGCCCCTCCTTGTAGAGCATGCTGTCCCTACCTGTGTCACCTGGATGTCTTCGGGGGCACCCGTGTCCCCTCGGCCAGGCCTTGCTTGACACCAAAGTGAAAGTAGGAAGTGATGCTGAGTGGGAGCCTGGGCCTCCCAGCACCCTCCTGGCTCCCGGGTGGGTGTTGGCCTGTAGGTGCAGCTGGGGAGCACAGGGGAGCCCCAGGCAGTGACCCCAGCCTGCTCAGCACGCCATTGCCCCGTGCCACCCTGCAGTGTGTGCCACAGTGGGCACGGGGCACAGCACCCCATACTGGATAGGGGCTGGGCAGGGTGCTGGGTGGCAGTGGAGCATCAGCATCATCGTGTGTGTGTGTGTGTGTGTGTGTGTGTGTGTGTGTGTGCATGCGTGTGCAGGCGTGCGTGTGATTGCACGTGTGTGCAGGCTGTGCAAGCACAGCTATGTGGCTGCGTGTGTGGGTGCAAGCTGTACACGTGTGGCTGGCGTGGGTAGAGGCTGAGAGGGCACGGTGTGTGCCCTTCATTGTACCCACCCATGTGCCCTGTGCCAGGCACTGCAAGGGCAAGACCCCAACACCTGCAGGGGGGACGTGTCCCTGCCCGCCGCGCCACTGCAGCAGCCTGGCAGCAGGGTCCGCTCTCCCTGCCCCAGCCAAGGGCCAGGGTGGGGGTGCCAGGGGCTGGGGGGGGGCAGAGAAGACTCTCACCCATCCTTGGCATGGGTGCAATTCAATTAACGAGGCCTGGCCCCGGTTCAGCACAGCCAATAAAGCTAATGGCCCCGCACAGGCCTGGCGCTGCCTGCCGGGGTGGGGGGGCGGGGGGAGCCGGGGGCCATCTGCTAATTAAATGGGGGTGGGGGACCATGGAGCCAGCGGTGATGTCACCTCCCTGAGGCTCACTGGCCCCCTCTGCCCCCCAGCCCTCTACCACCGCCAGGGTGCCAGGCAGAGCTGTGGGGGACAGCTGTGAAGTGTGGGGGCCCACCCAAACTTCCTGCACCCCCACCCTGATGCTGCTGCTTGTTGGGAGGCTTCCCAAGGCAAATGCAATTAGTGCCCATGCCTGGCATGGCCGCTGCCCACGCTTGGCACCAGCAGCTGCCCCGTGGGGTTGGGTCCTTGCCCAGCACCAGCACGGCATCATGGCAGCATCCAGGGGTGCTGCTGCCTGCTCCTCTTGGCACTGTCTCGATGGGTGCATGGGGGATGTGTGGTGCCCAGGGGGCTGCACGCTGTTACTCTGTTCCCCTGCCCTGTGCAAGCTCACCATGGTGAGGTGGAGTGCCCGGGGCCCGTTTGAGCTGTCCTGCAGGGAGAGGTTCCCATGGCAGTTCTGTGCCCACAGCACGGCAAGTCAGTCAGGCTTTGGGGAGAGACCCCACTGGAAGGGGTGTCCCCACTGTGTGGAGAGTCCCTGATTGTGTCCTCAGGCTCCCGAGGAGAGGCTTGGTGGGATACAAGGAGGACTGGCAGAGGGGGAGGGAAGTCCCCCCTGCCCGTGTGCAAACACTGCCATTCAGGGCTGGGGTGGGCAGGGAGTACCGTAAGGAAACTGAGGCAGGGTCGGGGTGAGGGTCGCGGAATGAGATGCGATCGAACCCACGGTGTGCGACCTCCTGCACCCCCAAAACTGACGGCGCTGGAGTGGGGGACCCTGTTAAGGTCTGGCATCCACCCCAGGGGATGCCGTGCCCGGAGGGCAGGCGGGTGAGCGCCGGAGGTGCCAAGCCCCGAGCCCCGTGTGCGGGAGGAGGAGAAGGAGGAGGAGGAGGAGAAGGAGGAGGGGGAGGAGGGGGAGCGTGTCGGAGCTGGCTCCCACCCAAGCACTGCAGGACAGGGGCGGGCACGGTGCTCCCTGCCTGGCTGCCAGCGCGCAGGCGACGCTGGGGAACCGGCGGGGGGGACAGGGCCCGGTGGGACCGCAGCCCCCCAGCACATCATTGTCGCACGGCCCCGTGCCCAGGGCTGGGCACTTCGGGGACACTGCCCGGGCACCGGAGCTTGTTGCGGCCGGCGCACGGCTGGGTTCGGCCGCTCGTCCGAGCGTGCCCTGGGCAGGGGTCGGCCCCTGCACCCTCCCCCCGCCGGGTGAGCCCCTGGCAGGGGCACCATGACCCGGCTGAGCTGGTGCTTTGCCACCTTGGTTGGCTGGGGGAAGTCCTTGGTGTCCTGCCTCCTGCCCCTCCGCGCCCGCCGCCGCCGGGAGGTAAGCGGGCATCGCCGGGCACGGCGTTAGGGTTAGGGGCCGCGGGGGACACGGAGCTGGGGGGCTCCGGGGTGCGGGGAGAGGGTATGGGCTGCCGCTGGCCCTGCCTGCTCCGGGCAGCTGGGGGTTAAACCCTGCATATGCATGCCAGGGTGCAGGGCATGTCCTTTGTCCCTCCTTTTGCCCCCCACAGCGTCTCACTGTGACCCTCTTTTCCCACACCCGAGGAACCCTGCAGTGCCTGACTGGAGAGGATCTGCTGTACAGCCTTTCATTCTAAGGGATCTGCTGGGATCCCTGTGTCCTTACAGAGAGACGTAGAGGCAGGGGGTGTCCCTGTGTCCTTACAGAACCCACAAAGGGAACACTGTGCCCTGCAGGAGGGGAGCCCAGTGCCCCCAAATGAAATCCCTGTGCCCATATAGTGGTCAGTGTGGGGGACCCCTGTACCTGTAAACACCTGGCACTGGGAAGCACCAAGCCCATAAAGTACTCAGTCAGTGTGGGCTCCCTGTGCCCAACGTGCGAGACCCCTGTGGGGTCACTCTGTGTAGGGCACCTCTGGGCCCGTCAGCACCTGGCATGTGTGGGATCCATGTGCCAAAGGACTGCCCCACAGGGGACCCCCGTGCCCATGCAGCACTTGGTGTGGGGACTCATTCTGCTCTGCCACCCCGGCTGCGCAAACTGAGGCGGGGAGGGGGGGAAGCTGTTGGAGGGTGCTGGACTCCCACTGCGCCACCCTCACTTTGTTCCTCAGTCTTTGGGAAGCTGCCCCGTGCCTGGCAGGATGGCATGGGACGCTTCAGCTGCACCATGCCAGAAAAGCAGGTGCCAAAGCCACTGCCAGGCAGTGCCTGAGGGAGTCACTGCAGGCTGGTGACAGTCCAGTA